TTGTCAAGAAACCAGTTTCTTGGCAAGAAACCTGTCTTTTGATCAAGAAACTTGTGTTTTGCTCAAGAAACCTTTTTTTGGAGATGAATGAAAATTGAACTGAAGTGTGTGAAGTCCCAAAAAATTTAAGATGACATGTCAACAGGCCGTGTCTTGCTCAAGAAACCCGTTTCTTGTGAAGAAACTAGTTTCTTGGCAAGAAACCAGTTTCATGACAAGAAACCAGTTTCTTGCCAAGAAACCAGTTTCTTGTAAAGAAACCTGTTTCTTGGCAAGAAACCTGTCTTTTGATCAAGAAACCTTTTTTTGGAGATGAATGAAAATTGAAGTTAAGTGTGTGAAGTCCCAAAAAATTTAAGATTTTATGTCAACGGGCCGTGTCTTGCTCAAGAAACGCGTTTCTTGTGAAGAAACCAGTTTCCTGTCAAGAAACCTGTTTCTTGTCAAGAAACCAGTCTTTCATCAAGAAACTTTTTTTTGGAGATGAATGAAAATTGAAGTTAAGTGTGTGAAGTCCCAAAAAATTTAAGATTTCATGTCAACGGGCCGTGTCTTGCTCAAGAAACCCGTTTCTTGTGAAGAAACCAGTTTCTTGACAAGAAACTTGTTTCTTGTGAAGAAACTAGTTTCTTGGCAAGAAACCAATTTTTTGACAAGAAACCAGTTTCTTGCCAAGAAACCAGTTTCCTGTCAAGAAACCTGTTTCTTGTCAAGAAACCAGTCTTTCATCAAGAAACCTTTTTTTGGAGATGAATGAAAATTGAAGTTAAGTGTGTGAAGTCCCAAAAAATTTAAGATTTCATGTCAACGGGCCGTATCTTGCTCAAGAAACCCGTTTCTTGTGAAGAAACCAGTTTCCTGACAAGAAACCTGTTTCTTGTGAAGAAACTAGTTTCTTGGCAAGAAACCAGTTTCTTGACAAGAAACCAGTTTCTTGCCAAGAAACCAGTTTCCTGTCAAGAAACCTGTTTCTTGTCAAGAAACCTGTTTCTTGTCAAGAAACCTGTCTTTCATCAAGAAACCTTTTTTTTGGAGATGAATGAAAATTGAAGTTAAGTGTGTGAAGTCCCAAAAAATTTAAGATGCCATGTCAACGGGCCGTGTCTTGCTCAAAAAACCCGTTTCTTGTGAAGAAACCAGTTTCTTTTCAAGAAACCTGTTTCTTGTCAAGAAACTAGAAGCTTACGATTAATACGAAGGTTCAAAGTCAAAAATCTGAGTGCAAAACGAATCCGAAAATAACAATCCGAACAATATGTTCTGGAGTTCAAAAGTGCGAACAACATTCATAACCTAGGATAGAACATAATAAAAACGTACGAACAATATTCAATGATCATAGTGTACACATATTACACCCCAAAACAACATAAAACC